ATTATCTACGGAAAAGAACAGAAAATGATTTAACGTGATAGTTTCGCTTTTTGAATAAAATTATTACCTGAAAGAACTAACGTAGGCGTTCGATAACTCCGCACCTAATATGCTATATCAATTTCAATCGAAATTTCGCACAACTCAAAAGGACCCTATTGCAGATTTTAAGTGCGATTTTACCTCGGCGAAGCTCTAAACTTATGCAGATGGCGACCAAAAAATTAGAGCGCATGAATTATGGGCAACGCCTTTAAATTGAAACCTCCTCTAGGAGCAGCGTGTCAGCGTTTATTGCAAACCTCACCAAAGCTAACTACTTTTTGTTGACACCAGCAGCCCTCTTGCGGATATTTTGTAAACAAAAGAAGATAAAGGCTAGTGTAATCATCGGAACCTACTTCTCTATTATCCGTCAGCAAAGGTGAGCATGTAGTTTCTTCCGAATTTTTCGTCAAACGAACAATTTGCCGCCTACCTCGAAGCTAAAAATTTATCGTCTTGTTCCAATGCTGAAGAGGTAGTCTAGACGAGAAATTATTCTCCTCTCAAAAGATGAACACGCCTAGATCTGCAATCGACGTCTAAGACGGGTATTAGCATAGGGAAATGATCGAATTTATCGAAACATACATTTTTGACAAACTTCATGAACATTTTGTCTGATAAAACTGTGTAGAAATACTTCTTATATAAGAAAAGAAGGGTTATTTGAAAGGGCCTGACGAGCAAACAAAATTTTGCAAGGGGTTAGGCGTTCATAAATGCAAATATCAGTTTCTACCACCAATTTTTACGCGTAAAGTCACGTGATGCATGGCTCGTTCAGCAAAATATGCCACAGTAAAGGGTTAGGTAGAATGGATGAAACAAAAGCTTTAATCGCCCAATTTTTCGGATCCATTCTGGAACTCGTCATCAGTGATAACATCGGATAAGGGAAATTAATGCAAAAGCCAGGAGATAAAGAAGAAGATGCTGGTGATGATGATGATGATGTTGATGATGATGATGATGGTGGTGGTGGTGGTGGTGGTGGTGGTCTTGGTGGTGGTGGTGGTGGTGGTGATGGTGGTGGTGGTGGTGGTGGTGGTGGTGGTGGTGGTGGGTTTGTTGGAGGTCTGGCGTTTAGAGTAGTTGGTTCGTCTTCCCATCTTCAGAGACTGGGAAGTTCTGCGCACAGCTCCCCTAACATGGCGCACTTTGTATGATGCGTGGCCTGCCAATAGCGACCGTGTTACTGCATCTGACCCGCATGTCATCGTGACCTGAATCGCCCCCGCCCTCGTCGGCCTCGGAGATAGTTGACCGCCCTGATTGTCCCGCGCCGTGACTGTCCCCCGATAAGAAGGTTCGTAAAGTCAGATACGGGCAGGCAGAGCGGTAGGTGGACATCCAGGCTTCTTGCACCTGCCTTGACTTATGATTATCGTCCCGGCCCACAATCTCAACGGCCTCAAAGTTGAAAATGTGTCCCATTTACGCGGCATGGGTTGCTACCTCACGGCCGACGGCGGCGATTCAGGTCACGGTGACATGCGGGTTGAATGCAGTAACACCAAACAAAGTGCGCCATATAAGGAGATCTGCGCGGAGGACTTCCCAGTCTCTGAAGATGGGAAGACGAACCAACTTCTCGAAACGCCGGACCTCCAATAAACCTCTCCCAGTGAACTTCTCTTCTTCTTTTGATATGCCACCTGGGAATCGCATTTTCACTATTATCGATGTCATAGGTAAGTGCTTAAAGGATTTAAAGGCTGTATTCTCTGTGCTACTGCATACCATACCACATAGCGAGTGCTTCCTATGAATACTGCAACTCCTTATGTATGGAGTTCACTTATCTTATGTTAGCTCTGAAGACGGGTTCGAGCATGAACTCGAAATGTCTAGAAAATAAAGCCCTTGCTCCGACGATTGCGTTTATTCCTTCCCAATGGCTTCTGGGGACGACGGCTTCCGGTATCGAATTGAAGAATAAAAATTGTCTACCAACTGACCATCGGTCACGACTTTCTGTTCTGTTAAATAGTTCGCTAAGTCATGCCTTTCTTCTCATTTTTCCAGTTTATATTTCTGACTCAGCCTCAAAGGCATAGGAATGTCTAGCGTAATGCTTTCAGCTGGTGTGATCTAGATAAATTACACTTTTCTCGAGTGGAATACGATGTTAATAGATAATAGAAAACAAAAGTTTGACCTGTGCAACTTTCCACCCCAATGCATGTCTTCTTTCAAATATTTTAAAAAGAATAATTTTATTTTTTGTCATCCTTGTCATTATTTCTGAGATAAAATCCACTAATCTAATTCTGCGTAAGGAATAAAATTCTTTTTTAACTCTAATGATATCAGGTAGGCAATTTCAGTAATGTACTAGTTGGTATTGAAACAGCAGCTGCCTGATATTTATCCTCGCCTTCTGCAGTGCATACCAAATGATTGCAAATGATCCAAATGTTAGAACGCTAAAACAATGTCCCTAACGGTGTCTCCCCCATCGATGGAGGTATGAATAATTCAATGAGACACGGACTTGCCTAACAGAGCTCATGCACTATCCTGCACTCATTTTAATCAATCTCTCGCACACATCTGTCCTTTTGGCTGTCGTCAGTTTACACGAGTCTCGTTTTGTGGGCCTAAACAATAGTCTTGCGTTCCGAGGAAGTATTTAGGTGCGTCGTGCCAACGAAAATGCAGCCGGCAAAGTATTTAGGTCTTGCCTGTTTTCGCTGGGTCACACAGGGATGCCTAATAGGACCACGTGGTAGACTGACCTGGGGATGCCTCAGGCAAGCATGCAGCGTTCGGCAGTTAAATCAAGCCCCTGTTCTGCGCCGTCTGTGAAGTCTCAAGTTGCGCGAGCATAAAACACTCGTTAATCCCGTCAGTGAGACCACAGTTAACCTCCGTAGGTATGTCTGGAGCGATTTCCCGTCTGTCTAACACACTCGATGGAATAATCCCAGCCCGAAAACAAAGTCGACATTGTCTCGTACTTGCGCTGTGTGCTCAACCATGCTGGTATGCTCTGTGGATGGTCTCCAGAAACGTAGCGGTCTTAGAGCAAACAGAAGTTTACCTATTGTGTTTTTCTGTAAATTGTCTAAAAGGAGTGTTCATCTGAGTCGATGCTGTAAGATGATTTGGAGTCCTGTGATTCGCACAGGTAGATAATAAAAGATGCAGATTTTTTTAAATTTTTCGACAAGCGTAAGCATCTGTAAAGGTCAACGAACCGACTGTGCTTCGTAGAAACTTTCCAAAAAGGCTTAAAATGAGGGACTGTTTTTGCATATTTATAGGCAAGCAAGTGCGCGTCTAACAAAAAAGACACAATTTAGCACAGACTGATATTCGAAATCCCTAAGAAAACCACCATCTCCTATGTAATGTACATACGCAGTCACAATATTTTCATAAAAGACTGAACTTCTTATGCGGTATTAAAGGAAATATCTTCATCAGCTTTAAGGTTAAATGGGTATTGTCACTAATTTTTAGTCCATAAAATCCTCAAAGTTGCAAAAATAAGTTCCATATAATAGGTCTTAAATTGATAACAGAAAAAGGTATTTATATCATGCTTCAGAAATTCAAATTAAGAGACTAGACAAGCAGTCACAGAGTGACACTCAATCACTCATCACGAGTTTTAATCTAGTAAAATGATTGAACGAACGGTGTTTATCCTTCATAAAAGGGTGGTAATCATTGTCGTATTGAAATCCTTATGGATTATTGAACGCAACCTTCATGTAATCTTGCAAAATCCATGTTAAAATCGTTAAGATACGAGTATGGGATTTTAACGCCACAAACCTTAATCTAAAGTTTATGCCATGCAACTCTGTGTCTTCTCCTGCAATCTGCGAAGCAACACAATCACTGCGTCCCGATTTTGCCTCACATTTCACTTCCTTTTTATAAGATCTAGGGTTGTAGTAATTCCATGGTTTTTCATATTACAGTGATTTGCATAATGTTGCAGAATAACGGAAGTCATGTTAGATTCACATACACAGGTGATCCTAAGAATTAGCGTACTTTTGTGCATGCTCAAATCGACAACTGTAGATCTGCAAAATAAATGTTCGCGACAGTTTTTCGCTTAATCACAACATCTTTTTCTGTCTTAAGATGGAATGACCCCGCTTTGGCCTCGATGAGTAAAGCCATTTGCCCACCTATGCTCTTCTACTTGAAGGATTCCGGCTCACACACGAGCCATCATAATGCACTAGTTATTAAGACTCCAAAGGTGTCATATGGTATTGCTTCTGGACGATGCGCAAGGTTCAGCATGGCCCGTCTAAATTTACTTTTCTAACGGCACTTCTCACCGACATCCGTTCCGACAGATCTAGATCGATTTCAAGTGTGGTGTGGTCCTGTGTGTGGGTGGTGCGGACCAAGGGCTATTTTAAGTCAGGTGTGACTCCGCACCTAGGCTGACTTCAGTCGAATTATCTCAGGCTTCTTATTGTGAAAATATAGACTTGGGGCCAGCATGTGCGGTACATTCTGTGCAATTATTATTTACGATAGTTCTACTCACATGTAGGTTGTCGCTGCCTCTCCAAGGTAATAGTGGTCGTCTCCGCTTGAGGCGGGTTAACTACTGAAAAATTTAAGAACTTATTGGGACCTGCCCAATAATAAATCTGTGACCCAGTAATAGCCGACCCAAACGTGGGACTGGGCATGACTGTCTGAAGACGGCTGCTATTCCAGAAATACCCATCGCAGTCTCTCCCTTATTTTTTCCCGCATTCCTCCACCGCATCAATGGTCGTCAGTATGTGAAGGTCCGCGAAGGTTTTAATTTGAGCTCATTGTCACCATGGAACAAGCACAACCTGAACAGGGAACGTTTCTCTCCATGCGACACACCCATTCATTTGACCAGAAATGACAATGGTAAAAACAAAGGTTCTTTATTTCTGTTATTTTGTAGTTGATAAGCTTCAATCTTCGGAGCACTAGAACAACAGTTATGACATGGTGCTTTTTACAGTCACCGTGATCAAGGATGAGTTGGGACTGTAATTGCGTCTTCTGGCGAGCTGACCCGAGGACAAGAGCGAGATAGAGGACACAATGACACACGTACGACAAACATTGTGAACGTCTGCCAAAAGAAGTGCAGAGGCGAGTTACAGGAAGCAGTTAGGAAGTAGATGATGCAATCACCGAAATGAGAAACATTGCTGACCTGACCATTCGGATCTTCACTCAAACCCCCCAGCTGATGGTTTCGAGAAAAAATCCAAAACATCGGGCCAACAAGCGTCTTTTCCCAGTGATCGAAACCTCTATTTTTATCGTCGAAGTTTCTTGACTACGAAAAGGGCAAGACAACATGTCTATGATTTCTAAAAACCGTTATTCATCTGATTCACGTTGAGCAGATCAGTCTTCTGTGCCGTGAAAATTGCGACATGTTTTCAAATATTACACACAACTCACACAACTGTGTGCTGACATCCATACGAGTCAACTTCCAGAAGTTAATGAATATTTTGCTTGAAAACGTGTTACTATCTGCGTAACTCCTAAAACGGCAACTTTGGGACATTCGCCTGACTTTTCAGGAAGCCCACTATCTTTCTGTTTCTTGGCATAATCACAAAGACCTTTAATGAATGAGTGAAGCCCAGCAACCTGTTCATCGGGATATGCACTCATTTGGGAACTAGCTTCAGAGTAATTAAATGAGATTCGAGTTTGGAATCTTCATCATATGTCTGTTTTTTTCCAAAAGTGGCGTGTAATATTAGAACGCAAAGACAGCGAAATGTGCAGAACATAATGTCATACAATTTTTGCAACGTCTCGCCCAGTTGAACACGTTCTGCATGCTTCCCTACTTAATCCTGCACAAGCCGTTTTAGAGAAAATATTGATGTACAGTAGGTGTGCTAACTCACGAAATCCTAACGGAAATTCTGAAATGCGTTTTTGACTCAAAAGATTACTTAAGTAGGATTATAATAATAATCGACATGCACAATAATTCCATAAAAATTCAGTTACTACAGGATGCGGGCTTTTGAATGAACTTCTTTTCAATCATCTGCAAAAAATACTCGTTGTGCAAAATGACTACTTAAGCAGCATACATTTTTCTCACTGATTTTCGATGAACTTACAAATTCAAGTAGATCTCGTAAAAAACATGCATAATATATTCATTCTTCCACTCATTTGGCAGAAAATTACGCCTTCCTCAAATTTCTGCCTGAGAAACGGTAAACTTCTGTTTTTGAATTTTTTCTTATTATGAGATTCTTTAAGACCGTGAAATGTTCTTTCACAAAGCCTCGTGTCGCTGCATTTACTAATGTTGCTTACACTATGACCCAAGTCCACTGCCAGATTTTATGTACCCGGCATGGTCTCCTCTTAATACCGTATAGACTACCGTACAAGTCGTAGTCTGAAAACTCCGAATGCGGATGTAACGGCTGGTCGGATTCAAAATTATCCGATTATTAGAAAAGTCTTTTAATAATGGATAATACCCTTACGTTAAGTATGGAATTATAAGAAGACGTAATTTTCTGCCAAATGAGTGAATGAATGAATATTTTGTGCATGGTTTCCACGAGATATACTTGAATTTGTAAGTACATCGAAAGCCAATGAGAATAATTCGTGCTACATAAATAGTCGCTCCTTACGGGGTGTAATTTTTATAAGTGGTGGGGAAGAAGTTTGTTCAAAAGCCGGCATCCTGAAGTAACTGCATTATAATGTGGTTATGCTGCATGTTGATAATATTACAGTCCTACTTAAGCAAACTTTTTAGTCACAAACGCATTTTAGCATTTTTGTTAACATCTCATGGGTTACCACATCTACTTTACATATTACTAATCTCTTATAAAAATAACTTGCGCATTTTTTAATCCATGAAACTGACAGAAGTCATTTTCTATGTAAAGATAAAAATAAATACATTTACTACTTACGTAGCTCATTGGGAGCTCAACAGGCTAGACGCAGACGGCTGTTTCACGGTCGTTACCAAACATCAGAACGTCATAGACCTTAAGAAGTAAGGTACATAAGCATGTCGAGTAAGCGTGTGGTCCTTATTGTTGTAGTTGGGATTTCGCTCGATCCCACTGCATCCGTCCGCCAGGTAGCTACTGGCCACAAGGAACGTTGTGCTATAGTCACATACCGCATAATAATATGTAAGCAGCTCGCTGCGATTGCAGCATGCGAGACGTAGACGGCTGTTTCACGGTCGTTACAGACCATCAGTGCCTCATAGGCAGCTGTCTGTGTCCGGCTTGCTGCATTCTTAGTGAGTTGCTTACGCATTATTATGTGGTATGTGTCCTATGACTCAACGTTTGTTGTGGCCAGCAGCAGGCCGGCCGTGGACAGAATGGGGTCGAGTGTGATCCTAGCCACAACAGTGAGGGCCACTCACCTACTTGACATAAATTTGGGCAACTTCCCTATTAATTATAATTAAATTTATGCAAGCAACGAAGTTGTATGGCAAAATGCTGTGTTTTTATGAGTGACCTCTTAACAGAAAACCCGCAGTCTGTCTTGTTGGGATTTAGTCATGTACTATCGCCCGCGAATCAACTTTGTAACCTCACCTAAGCAACCTGCTATTATTTTGCAATGCAGGAATTAAGGGACTTTTATAAAGATTTTCTACGAGGAAAGGCCGTAATCACCGGAAATAAGTACAGAAAATATGAGCAACGAGTACTTTAACAATGTCGGTGGAGACTTTAAGCAGATAACATAGTTTTTTGGCGCTAGCATACGAAAAAGAGCGAGTACAAGACAAATTTTTCCCACATGATTAGCGAAATCCTGCAGGATGAAGGTGCGGTGTGGATGATAGAATTTAGCACCCTAAAAAAGGGACTAAATCTGTGGTGGGTGAGGTCGGTCTTGAGAAAGCCTTTATAGACTGTGGATATGTTGAGTTCAAAAAGCACTATGTGCTTTAAAAATGCCTGAAACAACGGCGAAGGGAAACTAAACTTCGTCCTCCTAAGGACTGACTGCCCAGGTTGCCAACCCTTAAATAAAAAATTACAAAAACACGACTTCGAAATGACATTCCATGGCATGATAGAATCATAATTTTCGCGATCAATTTACCAAATATTGGCCCTCAAATTAGTGCGCAACCTACGCCTAATGACTAATTCCGACTTCTAGTGAACAAAAATAAATTTAAGCTCATACGTAAACCCTACTCTGTAGCCTTCACGTAATTTGTATTTTGATAAAAGCATTTTATATGGGGAAAATAGATGCAAGCACAATCCAACAAGAGCACATTAATGGCAGTTGCTCCCAAGAGAGCTTCCCAGGTGTTTAAAAAATTTCTAATAACTGGCCTTCCTCTAGAAGAGGGGACAAACGGATTATTTTTGTAAATGGTATATTTTTCACATGCTTGTCTAATAAAAAGTAAGAAAATGTGTACTGCGTGCTACATGAAGTTTAACAAGCGCTAATTCTCAAGCCTGTCTATCTCAAAACGTCCTTCTATTTGCATTGTGCGACTTAAGTTGCACGCGACTTGATTTGTAAGCCATTAGCTCTGAAAGTAAATTATGTCTTTTTGACTTCGTAAAGTCGAATACTTAGATAGAACACGATACTTCACCTAAAGGACAACGCAACCAATGTTTTAATCTGTCGAATTTTTGAAAGACATAACAAACAATTTGCCTCCAAAATACAGGAAGATTTGGACATGTCTAGTGCATAAACCATAGATCATGTTTGAAAGCAGGCCCAGAAATATGCCCAAACTGAATAAAAGGAATAAAGCGTATTTTTCCGGGACGATAGATATAGCTAACGACTCACATTGGTCTCATACCTCTCTTTGACAACCTGCATGTTCGAAGGTTCTTTCAAAATTTCACACATTTTTATGGCCTGACCAACGGTTTATTTATCCGATGCACGTGAATGAGTGACTTTGAGGAAGTAATTAAAACAAAAGAATGCGATCGCCACAGCAATATTTTTATTTGAATGACATTTGTACAAGACATGAAGTCTTAGAGGTTTCTCCTTACAGATCGTGTCGAAAAATTTTGTAATAGTCTGTACACATTCACAGTATTTTCCTTTGTAAGCGTAGGTGGGCTTGCTGAACTAATACTTGCACATTATAAAAACGCCGTTTACCGAAGTATACCAGATCTCCCCTAACTAGTCCTGAGAATGGCGGCATGCTAGGACGAATTTAAAAGAGATGCGGTCCATTATGCTTGTCGAACTGGAAATGTTACACAGGGAGATGCAATAAGTCAACGTACGTCTGGTCGCTCATACGTTTGACTTTACTGTGCTAATAAAAGATAATATTTCAGTGCAAAAATCAAGTGGATAGCAGTTAAGTCTAAATTTAAAGCATGGTAACTACAAAGGTGGCAATGGATAAAAAGTATAACTGGTCGAATGCTCGCTTATTCGTCGTGATTTGAAAAACCTTATTTATAGTTGACGACCACAGGCCGAATTTAAATACGAGACGATGCGCTGACAATCCACACTTACCTCCACTTCTAAGCAGGATCCCCCGCTGCTTATGGCATACGGCCTAAGATCAGTGAGCAAACAGTCCGTTAACGAGCGTGTGGTCGTAACAGCGTGTGTTTACAGTCCGTAGCCGATCTAATTAAGTGTTTGCCGGTTTTATGAAATGGTTTTTTGACTAGGAAGGAAAACGCAAGTATGGTTTGTCATATTTATCATAGTGCAGCACAATGCCAGCATATTTCAGACGCGTCAGTATGCTGCCTTTAAATCATTTTTCCCCAAGCGACCTGAAAAAAACAACGCTCGACAAAAAAGACTACTTAGTTTTAATGTAGTTTCTCTATTTATTCCCAAAGTAGGATATATGCATAAGATTGTTTACTTTTACTTAATGGACATAAGGCATACTGAAAGAAAAGTTATCTTTGGGTTCTGAAAATGTCTTTCAATTCCTAAATACTTTTGAGCCTAATCTCCCGCAGCATTTTCATTTATAATTTAGAATCTGTAGGTTTCATACTTTCTCGTAAAGAAAACCGAGCACCTCTACTGTCATTAGGAAAATTTCATATACAGTGCGTGACCTATCTCATGAAATGTTGGCTGAAATTCTGAAATGTGTTTTCGATTAGGAAGGATTACTTGGTCGCGGATGTGATACTGATTATCATAAGGCACACTCTTATAACATTTTAGACTTGGCAGGATGTCGGCTTTTAAATGTACTTCTTTTCAGTCTCCTCTAGAAAGCGTGCTTGGGAAAAAATGACTACTTACGTAGCATGCATTTTTCCCATTGATTTTCGATGGTCTTGGAAATTCAAATATATTTTAAAGAAATCACAAACAAACATATGCTTTCTTTTAGTCAATCAATAGAGAATCAAGTCTTCTTTATATTTTATACTTAAGAAAGTGTATAATTGGGTTTTAAAAAGTTTTCTAAGTGCCGAAAAATGTGGAGCCTGATCATTCGTTGACTTAGCGCTTAGTGATTACACTCTACGAGGTGCATGCGATCCGCGGAAAGAAAATCATACGCTTTTTCTATGTCATTAAAAAGATAATAAACAGGGTCCATAAAATTTTGCAATGAATGCGGACCATGTTGTACATTTCATGAGGAGCAGTGGTAAACGTCCAGGTACGACGCTATGTGAATGAACATGGGGCGGTCTTAAAAAGTCTCATAACTAAAAACTTTTTTAAAACCTAATTATACTCCTTTCTTAAGTATAACATATATAGAATACGTAATTCTCTATTGATTGACTAAAAGAAAGCATATTTTTGTTCGTGGTTTCTATAAAATATATTTGAATTTCCACGACCATTAAAAATCAATGAAAAAATGAATGCTACTTAAATAGTCATTTTTTATCGAGCACGCTTTCTACAGGATATTGAAAAGAAGTGCTTGTAAAAGCCAACATCCTTCCAAGTCTAAAATGTTATATGAGTATGCCTTATGGTAATCAGTAATCCTTCCTAATCGAAAACGCATTTCAGAATTTCAACCAACATTTCATGAGATAGGTCACGCACTGTATGGCTTTAAAAGTGCCAATGAGTGGTAAATAAGTGGTATACGTCGTAAGTTGCATTATTAAAAGGAGCAGGAGATTCCATAATATTAGTCAGTGCACGGTTTTCAAAACCTCGTAATAGAAAACATTATAAAACTGACAAATATCCCTCCCTAACACACAACATGTAATACTAAGTGGGCCAAAGCTATGTATTTCGGACAAATCCTTGAGGACATGTATTTAAACTTGTAAGGGCATCCAAAATCAACAGAAAACTCCATATCAAAGACCCAGTTTTTCTAAACGCGTACGAATTAGTCGGCGGCCGAAAAAGTGCTTCCAAGAGCCGTTATTTTGGTATGTTTAAAATATCTGGGGTTTCGCGGCCCAGTGACAAATATAATGACCCAATCTAAACATCGAAAGCGCGCCTCAGAATTTTAGCTAATATTTCATTAGATTGGTCAATGACTAGAGATGCCAGCTAGCAATGAACTGGTTTGCTCTTCGATCGTGCGGTCACACAGGGATAACGAGAGGAAAGGCCTGCACTGTCTTTTACTTTTTTTAATTGTTCCAAAGAATTCTTAGCTAATCAGAAGAGAGAGGAAAAAGGCGAACAGTAGTAACTTCCTTCTGCAACTGTGGGTTCGGCTAGGAAGCCCACACAGTAAGAAAAAAGTGCCCCAGCGCTGACTTAAACCGCCGACTCTTCGAATTATCACCACTGAAAGACCTGCCAAAAAGTCCCGTTGGCAGTAAGCCCAAGAGGAAGTTGAAAGGTCGCCCTTAGTTTTCCGCTAATCTAGAGAACGTTGCTGGACCCCAAGCTCCCAACATTCAAAATGCGTCATAACAGCTACCGTCCTTACTCAATTACAGCATCCCCATTATTCATAGAATTAGGAAATATGCCGTTCACGCATATGCGACTACGCGTGATTCTCCACAAGTCCATAATATCATGTTTTTAATTAAATAAGTAATACCGTGTTTGTACCATTTGTAAATACTTAGTTAAAATTATGAGATTTATCTTCGATTCAAAAACGATTTCCTACATGGGTGCATAATATTAATTACCATCCTGCATAATCATAAGATATTTAAGTCACTTAAGGTCGCCTACGTTTGAAGAAAAATTTTAAAAGCAATCTGCCAAACCTATATTCTGTAAAATATTTCATCTTATTTGAAATGAATGTTTGCCTATAAATTCAAATGTATTGTATAGGAACATTCCTCTGCTATATCAGTAAGTTATCATGCAGGTCTCAAAAGAAGTTGCAATAGTGTGAACTATGTTGAAAACTTTGTGGACTGCATTTATGTGTGGACATATTCGATGCATCATGAATGGTTATTTCGTGGTCTTAAAAATGCATAACTAATAATTACTTGAAGCAGAAAAATACTCTTTCCTCAAGTACAATATTTGAGGAAGACGTTATTTTTTACTGAGCAAATGCAATAAAGAATTTTATTATGCACGTTTTCTCTAAAATATATTTTAATTTATAAGCCAACCAAAATTGACAGTAAAACAGTCGACAGACATTTCAGAATTTCAGCTAAACTTTCATGAGATAGCAGATCCACTGAGACGCATGGCTCTCTAAAAATTCCGAAGACTGAACTACGACTAATTTTTAATCAGATTCGCACAAACGTCGAAACAAGCCTTCTCTGGAATGTAAATATGTGCCAGCCAAGTAACAATCTACCGATAAGTGCATTATTTCCGGTCCGCAAGTGATCTTGAACAGTTTCTTGGGATGTCAGAGCTTTGTTAAACTGCTTTTGTTGCCGCACAACGTATCACCATTCTCTTCCTCAGGTAAGTCCTCACCATCTTCTTCGTTACGGAAAAATAACGGAGCAGTGCTGTCCTCCTTCGGAGATAGAACGCACTTTGGTGATCCATCGACAAGATCTGTCGGCATGTCGTTTAGAAATGTGGGAATAATTTCCTTTTCTATGGTTTGAGTGACCAACTCATTTTTTCCATACACAGTTTGCAGAGCTTTTGGGACCTCTTTGCGCGGAGATGGTGTTTTGTCGACTGGCATACTCTAGTTTTGAAATCACTATGGTCAATGAATGGGTAATTGTTGTTGACAAGCTTTTGAGAGTGCCTTGATTCACCTATCTTACACAGCGATTGGCAAAACCAGAGGAGGCAGAAGAAACGCGGTGCGGACCGCTTTGATAACCAGAGGGTTCTAAGACAGGTCTGTCATCCCTCACCTGTTCCAGAAATCTGCAAAGTCACGCAGTGAATCAGGTTATTTGAGCACTAAAGCACTGCGAGCGCCTTAGTTTTCTTAGTAACCTTTCATCGGTGAAAAGTTTAACATACGGGCTCACTTGCACGAAAAAGCAGAATCAAGGTGATGCCGAATTATAAATGCCACACGTATGCTTGTCTGCTAAATTCTCAGAAAGCTTGTTTGATAAGTTCGGATTTAAACTCAGTCCTGTCGTAAATTGCTGAGCTAACTTTAAATACTTGTTTTAAAATTCAGTTCCTATCATTAACTATGAAACTGTGAGGAAACTAATGCAACCGCATGTATACGGCTAGCATTGCAGTATTCTGCAATACCAAAGCAGTAATTTGAGCCGTCAGTCATATCTTAGAGCATCGGTGTAAACATGTTGATTGAATTAGTTTATCGCCACGTAAATTACTGTCATGCATAATTTTCCGTCTAGAAAGTGCTCATGTTGATTACACAGAGGGCAGCAAGTATCTATTTAGTAGCATCTGAGCAAAGTCATAACGCGCAAGAACAGGGGGCCCCTGACGACCTAAAATAGCATCTGAAAAATGGCCGTTTGAATCAGAAACGACTAACCACAGGAGATTAAAGGCAGGATTCCTATAGGTGCTTCTTACAAGAAAGACAATTGAAAAGAAATTATCCTCCGCCCAACTACGCAAGATGTGTATATTTGTAAACTCGGTCTCAAAAATAAATCACCTTCGCGAGAATATTGCATTATGACGAGACGAATATGCGTATATCAACTTCGCCTGAAAGTTCATGTTTGTGTTCATAATCCCAGAAGTCCCGAGCATTAGAATGAAGGAAGTGCGAACTAGAACTCTTAGGTGTATTTACCTAGCCTCGATTTAACGTCACTTTCATGCCGCCCCAGATTCTCCGTTTTTGCAGGTTTTCTGTTCTGGAAATGCAGCGAAATATCTTAAATCTAGTTTTGTCCGAAGATGCATGTATTACTCGACAAAACTACTGACACGTAAAGACTGAAGTCTCAATTTTTGGAAAGTGACATTTTTTACTTTGATCATGGGAAAGAATTTTCTGACACGCTATCACGGCAAGATATGTGTGGAGTCCGTTGACGTATGTACGTATCTGACGCAGTTACAGGTGAAGAA